TGACAGCAACAGAGGGCAAGGCAAAGCATGGCAGCACAATTCAAAGCATATACGCACCATTCATGCCCCTTATCATGTTTGTGACTCAAAGGGGCATGTGTCTCAATTCTCGGACCACTAATCACGCATTTCCATGCATGATGGCCCAAAGAACCAAGTATGCAACTTTCATGTCAAATGAAATGCAAACCATACAAACAAATCAAGGCCCAATTCCTATCATCAAGTCAAGGAACAAGGCATGCATGCAAGATGCAATGCAACCTAGGCATACAAGCTAAGGATGCAACATGTCATGGCAAGGCACTTATGCAAGCATACAAGCAAACATGAGGCAATGCAAATGGATGCAAGCTAAGGATGCAACATGGCATGGCAAGACATTTATGCAAGCATACAAGCAAACATGAGGCAATGCAAATGGATGAAAAGATGGACTTAAACAATGATTTAGGCAACTCTAAATAGGCCTAAAACAGTGGCCAAAGTGCTATAATGAGGGACCAAATACACATGCACACATGCACATGTTGAAAGGCCAACACTTAGGCACAAATTGGACAACTCTCAAACACATTTGAAAGGAGGTAATCATGGACAATTAGCATGCAACATAAGCATTGAAAATCATGTTAAGATGGCGTCAAACCAAGCAGCAAGATAGGCTAAACATTAGCATGCAAATGGCCCAAGTACTCAAAGCAAACCAATGGAGTATTGAACTACCCTCAGCAAGACCAAACATGGCATGAAAGGAAGGACCAAAATCAGAGGTTTAGCATGTTAAAACAAAGCTAAGAACACAATGACATGACATCCTAGGGGCCTAAACATTGTGGCATGCATGAAGGCACGAACATGGAGCATGAGATGACAACCTTACAAGGCATTAAAGGGACAACTAAAGCAAGCATACAAGCATACTATAAGGTCTGAAATGACATGGTGGATGGTCCCAAATCACCAAATCAATGCAAAAATGTCATGCTATACACTCATACACTTAAGGCCAACAAGCCGGAATGCAAATGAGCAATACTAAGCATGCCAAATTCGACCCAAACAATTATGGACATACCTAAAACATGGCAAAATATGCACAAAAGCTCCACAAGACTAAGCCTAAAACATGCTCAAACAAGGGCTGACAACCTAAGGCACATTGAGGCAATAACATGGCATTACATGGTAGGTATGCTAAGCATGCATGGTGTACCAAAACCAACAAAAAACAGAGGCATAATATGACATATTAAGCACAAAAAACAACTAAGGCATGGTCAACATGAAGCTAAGCTAGGTGCTCTCTCCAGAGGCCAAAAATGGTCCATTTTAAGGACAACAAGGAGAGGGGGTGGCCCTCTCCTTTTGGAGACTTCAAGGCACCATCTCCACCACTGAAATCCCTCAAGATTTCAGTGGTGAAGAGGCCCAAACACCAAAGTCTCGAAACTTGCTCAAAATGGCTCAAAATGGGGCCTTTCAAGGCCTAAGAGGGGTCAAACACCTCCAAACCAAAAAACACTCTTAATAAACAATCAAGAGGACTAAAAAACAGAACTTTTTTGTATTATACACTAAGCTCAAAAACGATTTTAAGATAGGTCGAAATAAGGTGCAAAAATGGGGAATAAAGGGGTGAGATTCTTACCCTTGAAGACCCCTTCAACAATGATGCTCCAATGGCCTTCCTTGGCTTAAATCCAACACCAAAACACCAAAATCAGCCCCTTAGAACCTCAGGAGCCAAAAAAAGGTGAAACACTAGGTGTTTGTGTGCAATAGTAAGACACAAAACACCTAGAACACAAAGAGAAAAAAAAGAGAGATAGGTTATGTATGGATCCTAACCCTAAAAACCAGAGCTTCTCTCTGTGTTTTTTGTCTCTAAAAATGTCTAAAGTCTCTCCAACCTTGAAGCCAAGAGACAAGGCTCTCTCTTATAGAGCTTTTGTCTTGTAAAGCTTACAAGACAAGCTTCTAAAGAGGGAGATCCCTCCATACACGTGTATGGAGGGGAGAAAAGAGCAAGACAGCTGTCTTAAAATATCTGCAAAAGCAGATGCACAGTAGTCGGCCGGCCAAAAATGTCATTTTGACAAAATTGAGTGCCGACCGGCAACAAACAGTGCCGGCCGGCAATATACATTGCCGGTGGCAGCAAAAACCAGCCGGTGGCCTCTAGCCACTGTCGGTGGTGTGTGGGGATGTCTCACAAGGCATTCCCTGCCCCTCCAAGGCAAAACACAAGTGTTTGGTGCAAAACCAGACACTAAACAGTCGAGTTCAGAGATCCTGAGGCAAGGCGCGCGAGCCGAGACCTCCGAGAACTCCAAACGAACACAAACATGGATAATCACCGAGTGTTCAAACGGTGACGTCCAAGTCTTGAGGACGGTCAAAAATGGGGTGTCTACAGAGTCAAATTTTAATAATTTAATAATGTAGCTGAAAAATAACAATAATAATAATAATAAATAAAAATTGAAATTTATTTACAATTCGGGCAATTTGGGTTTAACTCAGGTCGAGCTTGGGCAGGCAACCTCGGGTTACAATTCAGGCCTGGACAGGTCTCAGCACAACTTGATCTGGGCTTAGACAACCTCTCAACCTGACCGAACCCGCCTAAGTTGCACCCCTAAATAGATAGATGGGTGGTATGTTTTTATTACATAAATCTTAAGTTGAAAGAGCTTTTCTTGAAATGCAAGTAGAGAAATATTAGGGTTCTAACTCAAGAGAGATCACTTATGATTTTAAGTTGATTATGGAAGTTTTGAGCTATTGAAATATGATTACACCTTGTAAAATGGAAAGTCCTAATTTTTGTTCAAACCCTAATTTTAAAATTTTAATTAAACGAGAGATTTTCTTCAATTAACCTTAAATTCTTGAAATTGAGTTGATGTTTGGTTGAATTGGGTCTAAACATTGATTATTGAATGTGGTGAGAAGGATTATTGAGCAATGAGATTCATGTATAGTAAATGGATAATAAGAAATGGGTGTAATAAACTATGTAATGTGTATGAAACTAAATAGGAATATTGCGGAGAACAAATTATGTTCTTACATAAAGATAGATTTTACTTTAATTGTTATGTGTTGGGGACATGATTTAGTTTTTGAATTAAAATGATGAATTGTGGAATAAAGTTTGGAAAGATGATCTGTTTCCTTCCTGCTCGTGACCAGGAAAGCATGCTTGAAAGAGATTCCACCTTCCTTCCAGAATAATGTCTGATAAAGCGTGTGGATTGTTGTGCTATATGAAGGTTCTACATTCTTTTTGGCTAACCACCGATGAAGCGTGGTACTTGATAGAGGTTCCACCATTCCTTCTAAAGTAGAGCCCGGTAAACTGTGTTGGTATGGCTTGGTGAAGCCGATTATTGGCCTGTGGATATTTGTTGAGAATCTTGTGATAATTTCGTTACGTGGTTGTGAAAATTATTAGATGTAAAAGCTGAAGTGTATAAGGTGGAATACATTTTTAGTGAGTTAATTCTTGTAACTCAATTATTTGAAATTTGTTGACTTGTGCATGAGTTTAGTGTTATGTTGATTATGTTGAGATGAAGAATCGTATTTAGAAAGCAAAACGTGTAAATGGGACAAGATGGAAAACGAAACAAACAGAATAACTATCATCTGCGAAATGTGTTATGGCGTGCAAGTGTTTGGTGTTTTGGGGAATTAATGAATGTGAAAGAAGAACTAGAAGCAGTAAATGATAAGTAAACTTAAAACCTTTTATCTAAGGTGACGAGATTTAAGAGAATTACTAAATTGAATTTTTGTAAGATAATAATTAATAAAGTAGGTTTCAATGAAATGGCAAGTAAGATTTTATGAAAAACTTATCTATTTTCCATACAAAGGACACATTAATTATGCATGTATCACCTGATAGCATTTCATGATCACATATATCTATTGATCTTGTTGTCAGAAATCATTGTAAATCCCTACTGGACCTAGTGTTTATCCCATGTTGTTTAGCCATACATATATCTATTCCTTAATAAACCTAGTGTTTATCCCATGTTGTTTAACCATTTTTACAAAAATGAAGTTAGTGCAACGATTTGAAGATCATGAAATCCTAATTCATTAAGACTTCTCACTATGTGAATTGTAAATGAATTGTTAGAATGTCGTAATAAGAATGTCATCATTCTATTGTATATGAATATTGCGTACCCCTTTATGTAAGTTTTGAGGCATGTATTGTGAACATTTGTGTGGAACATTTCTATTATTATAATTATGCAGAAAAAAACCTTTTTTATTCTATCAAACTCAATTCTTGTAATTATAATTTAGAAATGAACGTTTATGAGAAATTTAATAATGTATCCGAATAATAAAATCTAAAACGTTACAGAAACAAATACTGACACCTGATAATGTTATTTGATTGACATTAGTAGTATTTTGACTTAGCTGGTGAATACTTAGGAGGGGAATTATTAAATACTCCCAGAACACCACGTGTTCATACTCCAAACTAATTACCAATTACTTAATCCCATGTTGTTTGGTGAAGAATGAAAAGGTCAATATGTTAGACTGGTTTTCAAATTTGTCAGGAGATTAGTAGAGTGAAAAGAAAAGTAAACAAAAGAAGGGGGGAAAAAAAATTTCTCGTTCACCTTTTTTTTTTTTTTCCTTTTCATCAATCCTAGAGTGTAAAATGTCATTTCTTTTACTGTAGATCTTAAAGAGTACTCAAAGGAGTAAAAGCTGGCATAATAAGACAACTCAGATTTATATCAAGAAATTGCCAAACACGACCTATCAAGATCCCTCATGCACAGACCTTAAAAAAATAAAAAATAAAAAATAACAACCAACAGAACCAGCTGCTGGTGTCAACATTACGCCACATGAAAACACAATAATGACAATAATTATATTTGAAGTTTTGTCCAATCTCATACCCAACATCCAACAGAACCAGCTCATTTCTGTCCTGTCACATAAACCAATCCACATAATATTGATTCCCTTTCGATAACTAGATCCAACAGCTCAAGCTAAATACTCATTGCAATGTACAAACACAGAATTCCTCCCCAAAAAGAAAACAAAAACACACACAAAATGAGAATTTTTCACAGTATACAAGGGCTTAGAAATGCAAAAGAAAGTTGAAAAGGATAAGACGTAACAAATTGCCCACGTTCTCAAAAAAAAACAAATTGCCCACATAACTAGGTTAAAATATCCTACGAAGGAATTCAAAAGAAATAAATTAGACTAAATTTTCAAATTAAAAGTGTGAGATTTTATGCATAAAAGTTGAAAGCCTAAATATGGGTCACTGCTCCCTCGAATCTCTGAGGGACCATTCCTATCTGCATTCACAAATAAGAGGATAAACTATATATATACAATTACACCGAGCATGCAGTTCTTCGGTGCCGCACCCTTTTTCTGAAGATTATACCTCAAAATTTTGAAAACATCTGTACCAGAAAAGTATCTCAAACTTTTGAACAAGCGGCAGGACCCAGGTCAAAAACGGGTGATACCTACCAATTATAAACCAGAATGTAATTAATAAGCAGGTAAAAACATATTGAAAGGACACCCAAATGTATAGTAAAAGAATAAAGCGTGTACCAGCACTTTTAGCTCCATAATGATGGCTCATCTCGGTTGCCAATAAGCTGGAGCTGAAATACCAAAAAGAAATGCAGGAGTGATTTAGCAAACCTTTTTTTTCTTTTGATTGGCAAAATTTGGCAAAATTAACATTGAGCTAGATGAACAAAGTAATAAAGAGTAATAGCAGAAGTCAATATTTTCTGAATGGTAGGTACAAGTTGCAAAAAGAACACAAACCTCTGATTGCCACTGGGATCGGACCTTCAGGTGGTCTGAGGGGTAAGAATTCTCTATGGTTCATAGCCTGGTTGTAGAAACCCCACCTGTGGTTAGGTAATGGTGGCTCACATGGAGGGCTGCTGAACGGAGCAGGCGGATAGGACCCTCTAGCAGGGTCAGAGTAGCTTGTACCTGGTGCAGTAAAAGAAAACATCATGTCACCAATGAAAGATTTGATACGTGAAGACAATATCTAAATCATTTCATTAGTCAACTAACAAAACTAACCAGAAAACGACGGCCCTGAAAACCTCCAGCTGTCCCTGAGTTCATGTGGGTCCAACTTCATTCTATCATGGTCACTGTAAATATTACCACAATCTGTGTTCTGCACAAAATGGGGTCTGTTAGGGTATGAAGGGGGTTGGACTTCCCTCAGTGTCTGCATTCGCTGATCTGCTTGAACGTAAGAGAACTGATTTGATGGTGCTGGTTGGGGTGGCGGCCGCAGATGATAAGCCTTATTACTGAATGTGGCACCATCTGTCTGTTGAGCACTACTAACAGGTTGAATTGGTGGATGGGAACAAGAGCCAGAAGAATCAGGAATCTGTGTTTGCATCTGAAGATCTCTGCAATCACGAGCCTGATAACAGATTGCATCAGACCTTATCGAGTTGATTCTTGGTGCAGCAGGCTGCTGAACCATAGACTGATGTAAGTTTGCTCTGATATTCTGCAAATGCACGCCCAATCAAAAACAAAACAATAAAATAAGTTACTCCATGCCAAACTACACAATTTCCACACTAACACTACATAAATAAAAATATATATATAATGCAAAAGAACAAAACAGCGACGCACATGTGTACCCATGTAGAGCTTTGAATCGAGGCCATTCGGCATAGGATCTGGTATGGGAGGCAGAGGAGGGAGGGCTGGTGGTGGAGGTGGAGGTGGAGGCGGTGGTGGCGGAGATGATGGCAGAGGAGGAAACAATGGTGGCACATCCCTAGGAAGGGGTGGGGCAATGCAAAGTGGAAAATGCCCTTCAAACTGAGTTTGTATATTGATACCAGCATTACTGGTGGAACTCATTTCAGCCTCACAAGTAGGAGCAACATCCTCCATTTCAAGCTCACCATCAACATCTTCTAAGATATGGCTATGCTTTTCAATTGTCACTTGTACGGGGATTCTTTCTTGCCCTTCATGGTTTTCAGAATTATGCTCAGGAGTAACAGCTTCAAAACTCCCGTCGTCAGAATCACTTCCTTCATCTCCATCCTTCAGCATAGGGGGCATACAAAAACCCGGAAGCTGAAAACTTGAATTGCTGAAACAATAAGACAAGACTCAATAATTTATAAAGCAGATATATAATTCACAAAAAAAAAAAAAAAAAAAAAAAAAAAAAAAGAAGAAGAAGAAGAAGAAGAAAAAAAGAAGAAAAAGAAAAAGAAAAAGAAAGAAAGAAAGAGATTCAATAAATTGACAAATTCCATACTCTTTTATTTTCCTTCTAGAATTCTGTTAAGAAAATATATATATATATAGAGAGAGAGAGAGAGAGAGTTCAAACCTTCCATATTCATCGACAAGCATACCCTCCATTTGCCTAATAGGATCATCAAAAGGCCTTTCTGTTCGCAAGGGGCGCCGAGAAAATGCACCAGTAGAAGAAGAACAACTGACGGACTCAAGGTCTCGAATATGGCGACGAATAATGGAATCTGGAAGGATCCTTCTTGCCAACCAAAGCTTCAAAACCTATAAGTAAAAAGAATAATGGTAAGCCAAAACCAAATGCAGTAAAAGGAATAACAGTAAGCTTCAACATGTTGCTTGCCTTCAAACACTGCCTACGATTTTCCCGTGAACTACTTCCAGGAGGAGCAGCAGCCAACAATAAACGTGGCAACACTGCTTGGATTGCTGAAGGATACATATCACTGATATCACCTGGAAATTCAAATTAAAATTCAGGGGTTGTTTCTCAAGTTGACCTTTTGGCTAAAAAAGACACACAAAAGGCAAAAAGGCAATAAAAAAGCAAGTCACACACCTCAGTCATACACATTTTTCCAAACAACTAAAAAGTCATTCCAAAACACATTTACCTTTTTCACCTCATAAAAAAACCAAAAAGCCATTAAAAAGTCAAACCCAAACCACATCAGTATCACCAAAACCCCACATTAAAAATTGCTAGCCACCAGATTGTCATTCACATATACTTGACATCCAGGAACATTTCGATTCAGTGGTCATATAGCATGATAACAAATACATTACCTTTCAAGCCTCGGGAGCATTGCATAATAGAATCCACAAGAAAAAACAAGTCAACTCTTCTGTGTAAACTTGATTCACTTTCCAAATTACGGGCAAGAATTTCCACCACCTGAATTTAAAAGACTTATAATCAATAAAAAGATATAGTGCAACAATATAGTATATCAATATATATTATAACGAGATATATGGATATGCATGTTTGTACATAATAAGATACAAACATAACAACAAAATTTCTACTACAAATATGACATTCCTGACCATGGTATACAACAGGACATGAGATGTAAAATAATATTTGAAAAAATGCATTAGGAGGGTCTAGCTAACTCAATTAATTTATACCAAATATACAATAATATAATGTTAGTGTCAAATAGAAATAATAGGAAGTGTTTGATGTAAAGTATCAGACACATTCCACATCCTTGTCCAAAGTGTCGGGTGTCCGACACGAATTTTAGGGGGGGAAAATTCTGTTCATTCAACTTCTTTACATATTCATTCAATTCTCTCCTCTCTCTTCCTCCCTCTCAAAGCTTTCCTCCCACCCAAGTATTTCAAGCCTTTCTCAATCATCTGTTTATCATACTATTTTTGACACAATTATTTTTTATTTTTTGAATCAATCCACTTTCTCTCTGGTGATTTATATCATAAGAATAAATGGTAGGTACAGAGGTCGCCCATAAAATCCCCAAGCAAGAACAAACCATCTATTGTTGTACAACCAATTTCATCAAAAACTTCGAAAGATTAAGAATACAGCAAGCATCCATCTAATGAGGCATTAGAGAGTAAAGGTTAGATGAAATATATTTAACATGATATTTCATTACATCACAAAACCAAGACCACAAAGTAGGAGTGGTAAGGAGGAGAAACATTTGCAGGATCACTTTCTGTCTTCTTCATCCCTTTTTCAGCCAGTTTTAAAGAAACACATCAGACAGAATGGCAATGCTTTTGTAAGGGGAGAAATCAAATGCAAAATAGGAGAATGGACCACAAACTTGAAGTTAGCGAAAGAAAAATGAATGATGGAGTTGAAAACAGTACGAGGAAAAAAGAGCACATCCCTACAGAAATTTAAACCCCTAAGAGGACAACTTACCAAGTAGCAGTGTATCAGGAATAGAGTAAAAACTAATATCTACAAAACTAAAAATTATAAAGATACCTTAACAGCAATACCAAACTTTGCACAGTCAATGGCAATGCGCGTAGCTCGACCAATGCTCTCCTTTGTCCTTTTTAATGTTCCAAGAAGAGCCTCAGAAGATCCCAGAACAGCGGTTGCTTCTGCTTTATTGCTCCATTTACCCACATTTTTGGATTTTGCATGTTGCAACTGAACATCAGGGCTATAACAGACATTACTTTCAAGAATGCTATTACTATCTGATTTAGACATGTTGCAGATTGTGCTGGGTGGGGACATGCGTGCAGAGGAGTCTAACGCATCAGCTGGAGATGAAGACCGAATACCAGACACATCCTTATCAACCAAATGATTATCAGAAATAGAACTGGAACAAGATCTGTGTGGTGGACCCACGGTAACAGCTACTATAACCTCCACAGACGTTGAAGTTGGAATATCATTTGAATCCCTCTGCAATGGTTTAATGTCTTTTACAGCCTCACACCTAAGACCAATAAGCATAAAGCCCACAAAGTTAAAAACAGAACTGACAGAAGAGATTGGCACAACAGAAGCTATAGCAAAATAAAAAATGCAGGGAGAAAATAAGTTGTAGTTATAACATCTAGGACTCTCATATAAGAACAAAATATATATGAACACAAGCTTACATTTGGTTAATTTGGTTGTTCACATGTCGGGGCTTCCACAATTCAGTAGTTCCAGAACAATTACCCTCCATGCTGCATGGAAGCAAAGTAGAACCATTTTGTGGTGAACCTTCACCAATTTCAACAGGATCTGAACTCATCCCAGAATGTTCTGAAGGATCAAGTTCGGTCACAGGTTTTTCGGCTTTATGGTTGCTCAACTCAGAATTTTCATTTATGCATTCATCCTTAGAAGGAGACATCTGAGCCAGTGAACCTTGATTGCATTCAAGATAGGCATGTTTTTTCTCAAGATCACGTGATAAAGGTTTAGGACTTTGGGCCACACCAACTTCAGTAGTTTTACCTGAAGAATGTTCTGCATCATCCACATGTATATCTTTGCATAACTCATGTTCCGGGCTACTGGACCTTCTGGCAGGTCCATCACAAATTGCAACTTCTACAAAAGATTTTTCATTTTCCTTCGGTACTTCAGGGCCAGAACTGATAGAGTAGTCAGAGGCGACATCCTGAGAAGCTTTGCCACAAAGAAACTCTAGATTCAGCAATTGAAATCCATTCCATGCTTTGTTTTGTGTAGATGTGTGTTGGGAATCCGTTGTGGGGGGGAAACAACATTCATTAGTTAATGTCTTCATGGCTGATGGTGCTTCAGTTTGACCATCTTCAGCAGCATTAGCTGACATAGCTTCCAGGGCACGATGAAGGCGTTTAGATGGAGGTAAAGCAGCTTCACCATCCACTGAGCAACCAAACTGTTGATTTTTCTTTACTTCCCATAGCTGAGGCATATCAACTGAAGACGGAGGGCATTTATTTTGCAGTGATGAATTATCTGTACCCTCCCTCACCATAAACGAGTTTTTATCAGCAGGACCATCTTCTTCACAATTTAAGGATGTGGAAACCTGCCCAGAAAAGTTGTTTGACACTTCTAATACTCTCTCCTTTGATTGTATGGAGTTGTCATGCTCCTCTGGTCTACCCATCCGAACCCTTGCTCTTTTCACTAATGGAAGGTGCTCATCACCATTTTCTTTGAAATACATTTCATTAAACTTTTCATGAGAATTTGGTGAAACTTGTCCACTTATATGTGATTCAATCTCTGAACCTGCCTCGTTATTTAGTCTACCAGTAATCTCAGGAGCATCATTAATCACTCGCTTTCTATTTGGTTTCCTTTTCTTCTTTGTTTGGAAATCAAGAACTTGGGCCAACTCAACCTCTCTCTTACAACATACAACAACAGACTCGGGATGCAGAAGTTTACAACCAGAATCTATGGTGCTGCCTTCAGTTACATTGAAAGTATTCGAGTCAACTGTGGCAATTTCAGAACCATTTTCCTCAATGTTAACATTTGAAAGAAAAGCAGGTGAATCTCTGTCATGCCCTTCAGATACATCAGGTGATTTCCTGATTCGTTCACTCCTTCTTACATAGCCATCCTGCAAAATCATAGCAGCTACATCCCCAGCAACCTTGCTGCCATTACCAGATGGCAACATAAATTTTTGGAATCTACTTATGTTCACCCTCGATGAACTTCTAGACCTACAAGGCCCCCTTGTCTGTGAGGCAGAACTTTGTGGTTGTACAACTCCTAGTCTTTCTTTTGCAGAGAATGTATTTACCACAGTTTTTTTCACAACTACCAGATTATCAATAGGCTCCTCAGATGATGTCTCCCTATCATACAAAACATCTACCTGTGTAACAGGCACAGCACCTTCAACTGTGAGGCTTGACTCATTCAGCATCACTGCAGGAGTCTCAATCTGACCCTTTAATGCAACATCGCCCACTGATTCCCCAGCATTCGTCATGGTAACTTCATCACCAGAGTTAACAACAACTTGGTCTTGTTTCTTCAACTTTTCATAGCTTTCAATAATCTCATGCACTGCACGGACAAAATCAGCACCTTTTCCATGGCGTTTGGCTAGAAGAGACTCTTTTTTCTCTCCCGTAAATTCTTCAACATCAGCAGGGTTGCAGAAGGCTCTGCAAGAAAAGTATCCTTGAGAAGTAAGAACCCAGATTATAGGAATTAAAATAAAACAATTAAGAGAAACTTGATAACTAGAGTTACGCCCAAACAAGCTCAATTGAAAGAAAAACAAGCACAGAATAGAAAAGGAAACAACATTGAGGTAAAATGTGCAATTACCAATACTGCACAATACAATACAATACATATGACACAATAAATCCAGCAATTCGAGGCTCTCTTGCACTAGCCTCCTTAGAGAAGAAAAAAAGAGTAATATCATTATGTCACCAAAAATAGACCAACATACAACCTCAAACCTATAAAAACCAACAAGGATTCCAAGAAACAGAACGCAATAAAGAGATGAAAGTTAAGATAGAAGTCACACTTTTCCATCCATTGCAAAAAAATACTAAATTCTTTTGGATGCCTCGAAGAAACTATTGGCATCATGAATCTACATGGGACAACCTCCGGAGGGATTTTCCATTCTAAAACCTTCATCTACCAGCAAGATCTAAGTGAAAATAGAGAAAATAAACTAAGAGCTAATGGCATTCTAAAAAAGTGACTCTTTAAGGTATGTAATCAGGATGTTTAGAGGAATAAATTTTTATTCAATTTAGTTGGGCTTGGGGCAGAGCACCCATGCCCTGAAATAAATTTTGCTAAAGGTAAAACCAATCTCCCATGCATAGCCTCATCACACACTACACCACAGAGGAAAAGGAAGGAAGAGATTACGTATGTACTAAACAGGCAATACCCAGCAATCCCAGCCCGCAACAGCAAGAAAAGCAGTGCCAATTGGAACTTTGTAATGAGATCTTTTCAAAAGGGGTGAGGAGGTAATGCCTCATTATTATCCTCCAAAGACATCTGGTGAATGGAACTGCCTATTAAAGGCCTCCTTTTCCATCTGGATCATGACCTTGGAGGCAACATGATTATTGATAACCTAGGGAGGAGCAAAATGCTCCCAAACTGGTCTTGCCGGGTTCAGGTGTTTGGTCTCAAATATGTCACTCAAAGAATGTGTTCAGTCCCAACTTGTGTTTGTAAAGAGCCTAACCAAAAAGGTTCAAATCAGTTTATGACAATTTCATGAGCTCACCAGCCCAGATAGGTTTAGCCTGGCTAACACATCTGAAATCTATGGTAAGGCACATATTATACCTTAAAAAAAAAATTTAAAAAAAAATAGAAGAAGAAGAAGATGAAACATTACAACCTCACATAATCTCCTCCCCAAAGAAGAGGCCACAGAAAGAGAATTATAGCTGTTGGGTGCTTGTTTCCTACAACAGAAGACCTAGCAGTTGTTTATTCTTCTTAATCATCCTCTTCATCATCTTTGTTAACTAATAGTCATTTGACTCAAATTTGCTCAATACAAACTTCTCATTTCAACAAACGATCAACTTTGCCTTTATTAATCAACTTTTTTCTCATCAATTATTACATATATATCAAAGCTTAATGTTAATCAACTTTTGCTCATCAATCTTATATTTTCATTATAAGCAACACCCACAAATATTTCAAAAGTACTCGCCCTTGTTTTTAAATTACCAGACATGAAAAATCTTTGACCTCAAAATTTTTATATAAGAAAAATAAAGGTGCAACAAATAAAATCTAAGAGTAATCTCACTCATCAAAAATACATCTGACCCAAATTCTCCCACCTTCTAGACACATATGACTGCATTCTTGTGTCTTGGACATTAAGGAATACCACATTAGACAACCAATTTCCTGTCGATACGTTTTAGATTTATTATTTATCTCAAATAGTAGTTGAAAGCTGAGCTATAGGCTTACGTCTAAGAAGCATGGACACGGACACGTGACACGACACGAGTACGACACGGACACGCCGACACGTTAATTTTCAAAAAATGCAGGACACGACACGATGAGGACACGCATGAAATATATAATTTTATATATTTATTATATGTTATATATATATGAATATATCATTCAAAGATAATAAAAAATGCAATATGACACTAATTCTTATAAATTTATATGGTTTTTATTTTATTATTGTATCTTAAGTTATTTTGTTCAAACTTATAATTAGTTCTACGTATGTCTAATCGTTAGACACGTGTGTTTAAACGATTGACACGTGTGTCCTTCAAGTATCCAAAGAGTGTCCAAGTCTTTAAATAATAGGACACGTTTTGAAGAGTGTCGGACACGTGTCCTGAGAGTGTCCAAAGAGTGTCGGTGTCCGACACGTAACCGACACGGATACGTCACCTTCCTAGAAGTGTCCGTGCTTCTTAGGCTTACGTGCTTTTATATAACTCACCTAGTTTGCAGGGAGAACTCTCAGAGGATCAATTTTTTAGGTCTTCCCATCTACATATTGTCAACTTCTCAAAACCCAACAAGTGTAAAAGAAAATCTTGACAATCAACTTTGCAAAAGTCGGCAACCGCGCAAAAATAAAGCCAAAATGATCTGCATCTTAAGTGGAATAGAAAATTAAGAGTTTTCCATAATCCCAACAGATTGGATGATGACAATTTATTTAATGGTAGAATCTCTTCAATTGGGCTCCTAGTAGTGGGTATCTGGATCACCCTAGCTACATGCAAGGCCGAACAAGCACCACATCATCCTCCACTCGAGAAATATAGTCTCCAATTAGCCGGTCTCAAGATGCCATGATACCTCCTAAATAGTCTCTTCAGGTTATGTGCCTAGGCTAAGCAAGGGCATATTAACCACCAAATATAGTAGCTTGGTTCACTAAAGCACTTGGCACCTTAGTTGCATTCCACAAGTAGAAGCATGAGAAACCCCAAGGAGTAGCCCAAAACACTACTATGCCAACCTGAGGTACTCGCTCGGACACCCCCACTCAGTAGTCCTATGTCTCCGTCTTATGAGCCTCTACCACGCTCTATTATCCAAATCTTACGATTCACAATTTGATTAGCAATTTATGCAAAATCAATACAAATCTATAGGTAAATCTATTTTGAGAGTGAAACACACAATTCCCAATCGATTCACGATTCACGATTCACGATTCAATTCTTTTTTTAGGATTCTTATAATTCTTGAAACTATTGTGTCCGACATATTCCGATCATTTTTTACCTCTTTTTTATAGTAAAAATAGTGTTTAGTACAAAAATAAACAATATTTATGCATAATTTGTTGTTATTTTGGTGATCAAACAAATTTTAATAGGATCCAAATATATCGAGTCAGGCCTTTTTAACCTATTCTTTTACCTAGAAACAAAAACTCATAATACATCTTTTAAGATGATTAAGATTAAGGTAACCTGCACTCATGAATTATCTATTACCTATGAAGCACCGACACTTCAAGACAAACGTTGTATCCATGTCAGACACACGGACACTCCGAGGACACGTGGACACTTTAGGGACACATATGAGACACACCACATGGCGTCACCTTAATTTATTTTCAGGGGACACTTCAGGGACACATCAGGGACACACTAGGGACATGCCAAGCTGTCTTTTCTCCCATTTTATTTAGTATTGTTAATGAATGTTGAATATTTATTATTTTTTTCTTAAATTTAAATACTTAATAGATCATCCATAAAATATATATATATGTAAACTGTAGGTGTTAATTTAAAAGTATTTTTTTAAAAAAATAAAATTAGAGTTAGTTTTTATTAATATTGATTATTTGTGAATGTAATATTAATCTAGATAGCAAATAAAAATATATGAAAACATATTTTCTGATTGTGTCACCACTATGTCCGTGTCCCTATTTTTTTGAAATCGCCATGTCTCATGTCCGTGTCCGCATCCGCAATTTTTAGTCTATTACTATTTTAGTCAATTGAACCTAATGATTCTACAACTTTTTTTCCCTTAAAAAAAGAATTTTTGAACAAAAGATTATACATAGCTTAAAGTGGTTTAGGTTTCAAAATAAAATATTCTAATTAATTATTTCTTATTATTGTACTTTCTAGAGGGTTCCTAAGTTTATTTCTTGAATGTCAATAAAGATTATACTATAATTTTTAAACAATTTTATGGTTGGTAATGAGATTGGATCCACATCACTTGCTATGAAAGCAATGTCTTCCTAATTAGACGATGTCATCATGTCCTTATATAAGAACTATTTTATAACAAGTGCCAAAATAAAAAAAATTTCACATATTCCCATATTTTGACTTTATTTTTTTATTTTTTTTTTTAATAACGATTCATGATATGATTCACAATTTGACAAATACCACAATGCCTCAATTCCCAAAGGGCATCCCGGGGTGTGGCTAGGAGTACCACTCAAACAATCAAACCGAGGTATCTCTAATTGAACACCCCTACCTCGGTAGGGACATAGCCCAACACTGGTCCATGGCTCCCATGTGATTTCCACCCTCGGTTATGGCATTCCCCCACAACTTACAATCACTATCACCATTTCCACCAATTTGTTACCCTAGGCTAGGACCAAGGCCTAGGCACCTACCATTCAGGATCGCTAGAAGATTGTAGCTTAGATGCTAAAGTTAAGGATCCATTGAGGTTACCATGATACATTCCTCAAGATATCATACAAGCCTGATACATTCCTCAAGATATCATACAAGCCTGAAGGTCAAAATCCTATGACACAAAGGTAGGCATCATTCCTTAATTCTATCCAACTGAGTAGAGTTGGTCACCTATTCATATGTAAGTTAGCCTCCAATGGTCCAACATCCTCTATAAGTGGATAGTTGGCAGTGAGCTTCGAAAATGGCAAGCGTTGAGATGACTAGAGCCAACTGGACGTGAGAGAGGACACAAAGAACAGAGAAAAGGCAGCCGAGAAAGAGAAGGGCTGGGGTGACAATAGTATGACAGAGAGAATAAAGGATGTACAATGAGTCTTTGCATGCATGGAGGTTCACTTTATACGGGATGGCGACCCAAGGGAGCTAGCCCAGCTAGGGACAAGTAGCACAACCCCCTTAGCTAAGCAAAATGAAGGGAAACTCAATCAACTATGCAACCTTGGGGGACATACCATATGCAGACAATTGGTAGGCATGATACATCTCTATTAGTCCATGGCATTGTGGCTCAAGGGTAGGCATAATACAACCATCAAGGTATCATGTGTTCTTGAATAAAGGCCCCTCTCTATCTAAGATTGGTCCAAGCACGCCTTATCTCCCCTGATGGGGAGCTTGGCAACTCTAGACATCAATCCACTAGTCCTCTAGTGGTCCAAACCCAACCTAGGTAGCGCAAGTAACCTGTAACAAGTCTTCGAGGTTGAGGCCTCGCTTAGTGGTGGAGCCATCAACAACCCTAGCAACCAAGCAAGCCAGGCAAGGTACCGCACTAGAGTGCGGGATTAGCATAGATAAAACCATTGACAAGGAAAAGCATTGAAAAGGCCTGCTCAAGTGATTGGCCCATGTGTCACCTAATACAAATCAGCATGCGACGTGAGGCTTCAAAGACAAGCCTCCTAAAGGTGACGTGGCAATGATCTTGCAATGCCACATAGTAGGTCTAGACTTATGTAAGTGAACCATGCAAGGTTGATCATCATCCTTTAGCTCCTCTTGCTATAACAAGAATATCTCTCCACTACCATCCTCTCTTTCATTAAGGCTACTTTAACTCGTTTTTCCTTCACTTTCCAGAAGGGTATAACCAACCACCTCACTAGCCACTACCTACACTAGCAAACCAATAACCCTATTATCAAACTAAATTCTTTAATTTCTATCTTACAACAATCCAAGACAAGCAAACCCTACAAATAGAACCTTTCTCTAATTAGCCCTCAAGAACTATTGATCACAATCTTGTAATAGATAAGTTCTTCAAAACTCAAGGTTGGGAGCCAAAAAAAAAATTAACAAAAGGATGTGTACCTGGAATAGTAATTTAATCCAATAGTAGGTAGAAAAGCCAAAAGCTAACAAGGTACAACTGAGGAGACCAAATGCAACCAAGTTGCACCCGTGAGTGCTAATATATTTGGTATTCTTGGCTCATCCTTTGGTTTGATTAAAAATGGTGATAAGGGCAAAGATCTCTCCACTTCAAGGAATGGGAAGGGCAGAAAAAAAGGAGGGAAGGGGGGGGGCCTATCGGTTGCTCTGGTTTTCAGGGAAAAATCAATATTTTAAAGATAGCTCATGGAAAAGCTTCTCCAACTCATGCCACCAAGTTAGATCAAGGGCACTTAAGTACTAACTTCTCTTTTAAGCAAAGGCAAGGTGGAAACAACAGGCTAACCTAGCCTATTGGGTTGTGAGAGGTTTAACTTGTAATTTTACCAAGGCTCTTGAGATGTCAGCGTTTCCTTCTTTTAGATTCTATTTTTGGTGTTTGTTGACTCTTGGAGCTAGAGGTTTTCATTCTTTAGTTTTGATGTCTTCTTATGGCTTTGTATTGAGCTCCTATGCATATCTTTTCTTTTTTTGGTATTAAAATGCATGCATACCATGCCAAAAAAAACATCAAAATCTAATCAAATACATGTGTCCAAGAAATAAGGCTATAATTACAACATTAGAGCAAAGATAAGTAACATCGACACAAACACGACATGACACAACATAACACGAAGATTTCAAAAAAAATGCAGAACATGATATGTGTGGAACACATTAAAAAACTACCAAAACTTACATCAAGAAATGCATTTTAAAGAATGCAAAACAATTGTTACTATGAAAAGATTCATTATATAGGTTGTGCTTAGTGGGTTCAAAAAAGTGTTGCTTAAGTGTCCAAGAAGTGTTTGTAAAGTGTCCACTATTATAAATTTAAATTAATATACATTGACAAGTGTTGTACACTCGTTCCCGCAAAGTGTCATTTCTAACACAGATATAACATGACATGCTCCTATGTCACGCCTCCTCCGTAGAAGTGCTCGTGCTTCTTAGGAGTAAAGAGGTGGTTTCTCTTCTTTGATGTCTTGCTTATCTTCTTTCACTTTTATAGGAGACCTATATTTGGTTCAATCACAGAAGATTTTGTCATTTCTATATCCGTAATATAATATAGATGGATATATACTGCATTACATGCCTCTCATCTAATCATTTTTCCCATGTAATTTGGATTACTTGAACATTTTGGGGTTTTCTCCCCATCCTAACTTCCATTTTTATCAATGAAAGTGGAGGAATGGCTCATTAGTTATAACTAATTAGTTGTTAAGCCTGCATTCGACCAAAAATACGTGGATAGTTTAGGAGCAAACAAATGATACTAGTAGGCCATGGATCTTCACCAATTCCACATCTACAAGTCTTTAGTATGGCACTCACCTTTACCTTTTAGATTTCAGATATTAGTTGGAACTTCACCATAATACACTCCATGCTCCTCAGCCATGAAACTTCAAGTAACCATGCATTTTCTTTTGGTTCCATTGTAAAAGCTACAAAAACAAAAAAGGTGCTAGAAGAAAAAATAATAGGAGGACATATAAAGAAATATCATAATTAACTATGATTAATAAGATAGAAAAAGTAATTTGTATATCAACCCATTAGAAGTTAATAACCATATTATGTTCCATGTTACCCCATCCCTTAAAACCCACACCATCCTCTACTAAATGACTAAATGAATAAGCAAAAAATATATTCAAAAAATGGAAATATGACAGGCAAGAAGGTGAGGATTGCGATGCCTATGCTGAAGTAGTGACCGTGAAGTTGAATAAGTAAACACACCAAAACAAAAAGTTCCATAACAAGTCAGAAACAAAGGAAAAGAGATACTATAAATAGAAATGAATTATAAAAAAACAAAGAGCAAGTGATTACGATCACAATAGACTATAGTCTATGTCTTTCCCTGCCATGATACAGTCTATGTATATCATTTCCACCATCTACACCACCCAGAGAACATGATTCAATCATAAAACCAACTGCTGCCACTAAGTTTATGTCATGAACAAGACAGAAATTCACATAAGTTATACACCATTAAAAAATAAAAACTATTTGACATTAAGTTAATGCAAAAGAATACTCCACTAGATAGTTAGAAAAGCATTGAGATCTGGGCTGAATTACTCACATTTGCTGGGTTCCAAAGAAGTAAACATGTACTTTCTTCCAATCAGCCGAGTAGCCCCACTTCTCCGGGTCACTTACCTGCCATCAGCAACCAAAATTATTAATCATTTAGAGCATTTTCTTCTCTGTTCTTTAATTCTTTTGGAGAACCAAACAATACCCAAGTGTTTGATACTTTTATGTAGCTAAAGTCTACTCATCTACATGCAAACTTACAAAAACTGAAAACAACAAAAAATTAAAAACCCAAAACTTGTTCTTGAATTCAACACTCTGAAAACAAAGTAACTCATGAAACTCATAAAGACTCAATCTTAGTATCAGATCCATCAACAACAATTTCGAAAAATAAGGGATCCAATTAGTACCGTTGCAGGCCAGGCTGGGAAGCCCTTAACCTTGGCGAGGACGAGATCACCCACTTTCCACTGCCGGCGAGCAGCGGCCGCCGCCGCTCTGCCGCCGCCTTTTCTGCGACTCGGTGCCATTTGCGAAGTTGAAAAATGAGTCAAATTAAGGGTATGAGTTCTCTGAAGAACACGATCAAGAACGAAATCAAGAGTTTTATCGATGAAGCAGAGACTAAATTGCAAGCCTCTCTGATGAGAAAGCAAGCAGTTTCGGGATGTCTAGGATTTGCAGAGAACGATGATGCGATTAATGGATTTCCAGGCATTGAAAACACATACAGATTGAAAATTTAGATTGCAATCACTGCGCCTCTTTGAAAACCCTGAATTCTAAACCCTAGTTTGAGAGAGAGAGAGAGAGAGAGAGAGAGAGGGAGTGTTTGGAGAGTTTTGTTGCTCCATTCCCATACGGAACAAACAGATATGGGTTCGACTCTAACGGGTGGATGCTAATTTACGCTAGTGTGGTTAGGTTAACGTGCGCTGTATGCGGTTGAATCTAGGTTATAGATATACTGCGCAAAACAGCACGTGACCTACCGAACTACCTGGACCGTGATCGCTGGTGGGCTTAGATGTCAATAGACGATTAGCTAGATGTGGGCCGATAAATTGGGCTGGCAATATAGGCCCATTAATCTAGAAAAAAGAGCAAGCAGTCCGGGTCAAATTTTCTTTGCCAAAAATTTAAAACTCTTTAGTTTTTCAAAACTTTGAATTGTTTTCGTCTGTAATGAGTAATGAATTTTTAATATTTTAATTATTTTTTTTTAAAGCAAATTGTGAATGAGTTTTGTTTAAAATACTATTCACCCCTGTTATTTTGAAAATTATATTTAGTCTTTTAAAATTTTTAATCATATAACAAATAATACATTTCATTAATCAATTATTAAGTCAATTAACATTTTTTATAATATTTTCAATTAACAATTTTGATAATTTTATTGTGGTATAGAAGGATAGACAGCCATGTCTCAGCTCCTTAAGCCTAAACTTGATTATCAGCTCTGAGAATGTCTATAGACTCTCGCAATACTCTAGCCCTTTCGCGGGCTAAGGCGCCCATGGTCTGTTGACCAACTGGTTCGGCCACATTAGCCTGACCAATCCTTCTTCCTGTGCCGGAATTTCATCCGGTAAAGGCACTTCATGCCTTCTAGGCCTACCACGCCTACCACCATCACGTCCACATCTTGACATCCTAATAAAGGTAACAAAGAAGATTAGCATATTTACAAATGTGACGAAGCTAGTTCACTCACGTCCTAATGTGGTAAACAACAGTAATTCACTCCACATAGTCACATAAACACATATGAATTTTATTTCCGGATAATGACTGTCCCGCGACGTTGCCAGAGTTCCGATTAGAAGCAACAATGATCAAGTGCTTTTCTAATAGAACTTCTAGAAACCCGTAGACTCAATCAACATCTTAGAAATTTAAATCACATACCTATATAATCACATAAACATGTTAGCACGTAGCATTGCAAACATATAAACATCTTTGTCAAACGAGATAAACCCATTGTAGTACTAACCACTTCTCACGTACCCAAAGTATTCAAACCCGGTACTCTCTGATACTAAGTTGTCACCCTCCGAAAAATAATACAATAATTCAACCGTAAAAACTAATACAAGATGACATAAACAGAGTATTAGACTTTCATTAATCAAAGTCCATTTACAAAAAGGCACATGCATTACACATCCATAAGTTTTACCCTGAATCTATAGCATGGGGCACCAAACTAAGTGATCAACAAAATAAATGCCCTATGGGCTTACATATTTCCAAGACAGTTATTGGCTACAACAAAAGTGAGTCTAACTCAACAAAATTTAAAGCCCTTAACTATATAAAAATAGATATAACATAATAAAAGCTCTTGCTCCCAATCCCTCCAAACTATTGCTTTGGCGGAAGCATATTACCAGCACTTGAAAATGATTTTTCTCAAATAAGGTGAACCAAAGCCCAGCAGAAACAATCTAGCACAATATATGAACTTTAACAAGGTTATAAACATGATGCACATTGCCAATACTTAAAATAAAATCATTTACAACTCTTCTTCCCAAATCCATATTATGCTAAGTATGATAACCCAATCCATTTTATATCAAATTCGTTTCATGTCATTTCATATTTCCTCAATTCATGAGTCATATCAATTGTTATCCAAACAACCCAACTAAAATTACAACTTAGTGGTTTTCTTACCACACAACCATTACGCATAAACACTTCAATTTGCTATTTTACGGAAATTTTATCTACGGGAATCGGCACCCATATATACACAATGTTTTCGGGACTTTCACCCTGGACATACAGGCCAACTTAATTCAATGGAGTCCATCCCTTTTATTCTCTCAAACATGGAGTGCATCCCCTTGCTCCTCCCAAACATGACACTTATACAATCTATTAAACACAAATCATATTAAATGATAATTAAAAAGAGATTGGTTTCAATTTACCTAATCCTCATAAAATTTCTACAACAATCATAGCTATCCTCCACTGATAGTCCAAAACAGATATTTCTAAATAGATATACAATCTCTTAATAGATAAATTATTCAAATTTCCATAGGTGGGAGGCGATACACATCCAACTTCACCATTTATATAACCATTTATATAATTTCATATTTCCATTTCCAATTTCATTATTTAAGCAAAATAATTACTTAAACATTTTAGGTCAAAACACAATTTTTTCCCAATCTCACCACAATCACCAAAAATCAACCATTTATAGCATAACCCCAAGTCATATCCATTCCCATAACCACTTCTAAGACATCCATTATAAAACCCCTCTTTGGAATTGAAACTCCAAACCCTAGGTTTGTTAAAATTTATTCACAACCCAATGTGTCTCACACATCAAGAAGGTGACCAAGTTAAAACTCATAAAGAGTATAGAGAGTCCCTACCTCAAAGAGAGAAGACAGGCAAAGTAAAGGAAGAACTCCAAAGATACCAAAACCAAAGTCTATTTGGATCAAAACGATGCCCTTGAGGTGCTCTACCTTTTAACAAAGGCACACGGATAAAGAGATCACAAGATCTAAGTGAAAATGTAGAGAGAATGTGAGTTTTAGAGAGAGAAAGAGAGTCTCGATCTAGGGTCTTGGTGTAAAATATGTGAAAAAGTGATGTAAAAATGTGCTGCTACAAATTGATATATGCACAGTTCGCTCGAGCGCAGAATACACACATCCAATAGTTTTGCAGACAGAAGAACATCGCTCAAGTGCAAAAATAGCCGCTCAAGCGCATACTCACTCGAGCGTAAGAAATTGTCACGACCCAAACCCGACCCTATGGGTTTAGCACCGTAACCGGCCAGTAATCCGAGATTACCGAAGGCCTGCTGAACAGTAATACAGTAAAACAGAGTACAGGGCCTGACGGAAGCCAATACAGTAAATAAATAGTGTCCATTGAGCTGTGACAGTCTGTATGCAAAAAGGCTTTTCATACATTCACACATAAACAGTACAGAACAGTATGTACAATATTCACATCCATTCAACTAGGGACTCAACCCTACAGAACAGTACAGAAAACATTCCGTCTGTACAAAACAGTACGGTCTATACAAAACAGTAAAACAGTACAGAAGGGGGAAAAACAGACAAAACACCCCCAAGCCATAGCATGGCAACTCGGAACCTCGCAGTGAGGCACAAAGGCTGGCTTGACAAAACTGGAGTAACCCTGACGCCTCTAGCTGCGGTCCGGTGCCTGTACACCTACATATATATATATAAGCAGTGAGCTAAAGCCCAGTGAATAACACAATATGTAAAGAGGTTAAGAATGAATGTCCTTACAGTAATGAAAACAGTTCAATTCAATCAGTATTTCAGTTGTTCAGTACAGTAAACAGGCATATGTGGTACATCCATTAGCACAACAGTAACAGTAGGTCTTAAAAGACCGAACAATAATGATGGCCATCAGTCAGTAAACAGTAGTGGTTCCACAAGGAAACCGACAGAGATCTCTGTAACAGTAACAGTAAACAGTAAGTACTAAGGATGCCACAGTACAGTTCAGAAATAAAGGACATACATTCATTCAGTAAATAATACCAGTTCAGTAAACAGTTCAGTTCAGTATTCAAAAGATAATCAGTTGAACATATCTTTACACAATCGTTACTCACAAAGTTTGGGCTACAGCAGGCTAGAGCGTGTCTCCCCAGTAGCCAACCCTACACAGTTCACAGGTTGAACACACTAAGCTACACAGTTAGGAAATCTCATAACTTAATCCCTAATTGCCTTGGTGTGTTCTACAACGATATCCTCATCAAGATGTCTTAAACTAGGCCTAAAAATGCCTAGGATGGGATGAGGATGCAAAAATACACTTAGAAAACATTTTGCAAACTTTGCTGAAAATAAGAGCCTCGCTCGAGCGAGACTTTCTACGCTCGAGCGTAAGTCCAAAATCAAAGGCGTCGCTCGAGCAAGGGCTCAAAATAAGAAACTTTACAGTTTATGACATGCCTCAAAACAGTTTATACATAAGCCAAAAATACCACACAAGGAATAGGCACACAAGAGGGGTAATGAAGCAAGTGCAACAAAGAGGCCTCAAACAGTGAGAGGCCCTTAATAAAACATGAAAAATGGATCAAAATAAGCCTAGTTCCAGTTAGCGTCGGAGCCCAAAACAGCAAGAAAGAATGACTTATGTATTGAACAAAATATGGACCAAAAAAGGAGAAATGGAGCTTACCCTTGAAGACTTGTCTTTGGAAGCTCTTTGGCTTGAGTTGCAGCACTCCTAGGCCTTGAAGAACAACCTCCAGCTGCTGGAATGGAGGATGGAAGGGTGAGGCTTGGTGGTGGTATGAAAAGGGATATAGGACTTAGAAGGTTTGAAGCTTGGAAGAGAGGGAGATGGAGGTGTATGTATGCAAAGCTCTTAGGGCAATTTTGTAACCCTAAAATCAGAGCTGGAGCCCCTGTTATATAGGCAAGAATGGGAGGAAAATGGGGGGAAAAAATGGAGGGAAAACCAACCAAGTTTCCCTCCAAAAAGCAGCCCCCCGGATACAGAATCTATGGGAAAAACAGATGCATATTTGCACTGTAGATGATGTAAGGATCATGGCCGACTGCTTATCTAGGTTGCAGGTGGCCGGCCGTCTACTTCCCATGGCCGGCCGGCCAAGGGTCAAAAGGTTCAAGTGTGATTAATGGCCGGCCACCACAGAAAAAGGGCCTCTGATGTGTGCACAACACAACCCTGTGGTTAAACATTGAAAAAAGTGAACCAGGAGAGAGAACAACCTACTTTTCAAAGGGGTTCAAAAGGGTCAACAACAATTACTAGCCGGCCACCAAATATTGGTGTCCTCTCAGATGAGTAC